AAATGGAGAGAGGTTAGAACACAGAAAGGTTTACAGACCCATGCAGAGCTGGATAAACACTGAAGCTTCAGAGTCCACCACATGGTGACCTGAGTGAGCATGGACTCTAGAGAGGAGGGGGGGAGAGACAGCTCTCTATGATGTTTAGAATCAGGACTGCAGTACCCATTTTAAACACTAGGTGTCAGAGATACATATTGCTCCTTTAAAGGCAGCATTCCTGAAAACCTGTTGTCTTGCACTCGTCTACCTGCCCTTCTCTTCTCTCTTTGAAATGACAGAAAGACAAATGCTCTGATTGCCTTTGCCCGACAACCAGCTCACTAAAAACATTGATCACTGGACAGATTGTACAAAGTACAGCTTTTACATTCATCCTCATGTTGTGCTGTAAACACTGCAGCAGGTTCTCCAACATGAAAGCTGAAACAACAACAACTCCAAACAGGGCAGTACAATGTAAAAACTAACAACCAGCAGAAACTGAAATATGACATGGACTCACTGTGATACAGAAATAAATCAAACATCTTAAACTTTTTTTGTTTACAAATGTAGACATAAAACTGTCAAAGAGTCGCTCGGGGCAACAAGCTTAAAACACTTCTCAATGGGAGGGAGCTTTATTTATTAATTTCATATGTTTTATTCATGAGTCCATATATTATTGAAGTAGATATGAAAATGTTTAAAATAACATAAATAATAAACTGTATTATTTTGTTTTGATTCTGTCCAGGCTCACTGCCGCTGTTTCCTGTCGTCTTTACGACTTCTGTCAAGCTGCAGGAGAAATCTCATGTTACCAGCACAAGGCTACACGACAGGTGTGTGTGCAAGTGTGCGTGTAACTGTGTGCATGTAAGTGTGTGTAAGTGTGTGCTTTACTTGTGTACAGAGAGGTGTACTATGAACTACCAGAGGTTGTTACAGCAGAAATTCAGAAGAGCAGCCTGAATAAATACTTCAAACGCCTCCCTGCCCTGACACAAGCTGTCCGCCTGGAATGGCCCAGACATTTCATCTGAGCCGACCAGAGGAGGATATTTTCACAACAAAGTAGAAATTAACTCAACAGCATGACTTTAGCCTCGCCGAACAAACATCCCAAATCTTGTTAAAGGACAACTGACAGCTTTGTAAACAAGTCCAGGCAACTTTGCTTCGACAAAAACATTCAGGATAGCAAAACATAGAGCAGCTTCAAGAAGTACTCAGCAAATTCTGTTCAGCTCCAGTAATCCAAAAACTAATTTCATTCACGTTAGATTTCTGGAATTCACTGCACTCTGGTCTCACACAACACGACCCAAACAAACTCCAGCTCATCCTAAATCGCCGCGGACTGATTTAGAACCGGGTCGAACAGCGTTTTTTAAAATCACTTTCTCCTTATCCGTTTTAGAATTGATTTTAAAACTCTGGTGATCACTTTTAAAGCTTGTAGAAGGTCAGAACCAGATTACATTGCTGACCCCTGACCCCATACGCGCCCCCACACGCGCCCCCATGTAACCTGAGATTCTCCAGTAGGTCAACACTAACTATTCCTCGGTCTAACCTAAAAAACAAAAGGTGAGCGAGCCCGTTCTGTTCGGCCCAGAGTTAAGGAACGACCTGCTGATAGAGATCAGGGACGTCTTCTTTTTAAGACCTGCTCTTTCTCTAAGTTTAATAGGAGGAAATGTTCAATGTTTGACTGAATATTGGTCCGTCCACATTATCTCGGAAGTCGGAAATTCCGAGTTGCTGGTCTGATATGCATCAGGAACGCCCCGAGATAAAATCCAACATGGCTACTACGTTTGTCAACAGTAACGTTTGAAACTGTAAATTATAGCGTTTTTAAGATATAAGCAACTGAGTCAACTGAAGTGTAATTACATCAAGTTCTCTCTGTTGACATGTTGTCATGTTATTTTTCACAGTAAACAATCATACAGTGTGTTGTTATCATCAGGTATTAACTAACAAAACAAAGTTACTCCTGGATCGGCCATGTTGACTTCTGCAACAAGGACTACAGCCTCCACACATGGGGTGCTGGACAAAACCGTCATGCCCCATGTGGCCCACTTGTGCTAAATTTGGGGCACCAGTGGCCTAGCGGTTAATTTGATCCTTGTACAGAGGATGCGGGCGACCCAGTTCTAGTGTGACCTGTGGCTCCGTGTCATCCCCCCCTCTCCGTCTCTGTTCACAGTCCTTTTCCAATAAAGGTATGAAAAGCACAAAAAATTAATCTTAGGAAAAAAACAGCTCAGAAATGAGTCACTAAGAAAACTACAACAACACCCACTGACAAAGTCACTGTGCGAGGAACAGATTTGTTTGACGTTTTCTCCCCCCCCCCCTCTCATTACCAAAGTGGTCCCAGTCCTCCTGCATGTTCTGGATCTCCAGCTGGTTCCGGCCCTCAGTGAAAATAGGCTTGGGGTTCTTCTCAAAGCCCCCGGACAGAAGGCCTCCCTGCCATGGCCGTACGTATATCCTTCCGTCCATATCGATGACCACTGGAGACGAGACACAGCTTCAGTTAGATCGCCTGTTCTGAGATTGTTCACAGTCAGCCTGTGACTATAACGCTTTCATATAACTGTAAAGATGAGACGTAAAATACACAGATGGGACTATTGTAGCAGACTACTTAAGTACTGTTACAAAGAGTAACTCTATGTGGATGTTTTACACGATTACAGCCGTCATATTTCCATGAACGTCAACATTTTTGAAACTGATCAGAATGTGAATTCATCCTGCTGCCAGAAAATTGAAGTGTGTGTGTGTGTGTGTGTGTGTGTGTGTGTGTGTGTGTGTGTGAGACCTGGCATGCCGGGCGGTAGGGACCCCTGCAGGGGTTTGGTGAGGAGATAGAAGTGTTCACAGCCATGAAGAGGAACTGACACCTTGGTCTCACTCGCCTGGCCCAGCTCGTAGGCCCACTAAAGCAGAGACAAAGCACGGGACGATGAGTCACATATAAACCAACTACAGTGAGGAAAACCACCTGAGCCACTACGGTACTCTAAGTCCTCCTGATGTTTTTATTTATATTCTGTAAATCTATGAAAGCTCCTGTGAGGAGTTTTTCTCTTTTTATGAAACAGACTGAAAAACATTTTTATTATCTGCTGTGACGACCCCACCCTCCAGGCTGCTGGGTGTGTGTGTGTGTGTGTGTGTGTGTGTGTGTGTGTGTGTGTGTGTGTGTGTGTGTGTCCTCGTTGTAGGCTCAGAAAGATAAGCTGTACCTGGGCACGGTGCAGACCTTCCAGACCTCTTATTCCCTCTCTGGCCTGCTGGCTCTGGCATTAAGACTATGGGAGCCCTGATTACGACACGTTCTTCACATGCACTCACACCTGCTCTACTCGACTGATGACACGTTTTAATGAGTCTGCTTTTGTTTTATGTAAATAAATATACTTGTGAAATTGCCAGCTCATGTTGTCTCCCTGTTTTGTTGTAATCTTTGAGCCCGGTCGTGACACTACAAGCTTCTAACCAACCTTTGTTTACATTTTCAAGAACGTCTTTAGTGACTGACACATCAACAAGGGGCGCCCAAATTAACTCAAACCAAGAGTTCCTCACAGGAGATTAATAAGAAGTAGCAAATAAAACAAAGGATGTTTCCCAAAAGATTTTACTGTACCTGTCCGGCACAGTTGACAAAATATTCACACTCGATGGAGCCACGGTCAGTTTCCACCGCCATCACTTGACCCTTCTCCACCAGAACCTGCTGGACACTGGTTCGGTCCAAGATCTGAACCCCTGGATGGGATGAGAAAGACAAAGGGGTGTAGATGAAGGCCAAGAAGAGAAAGAAAAAGGAGGAGATGTCCATAAGGAGGAGGCAAACATGGGCACTGCCCGTAAAACACTTTCATTTAATGGTCCGTTAATGTTCCATCAGAGTCCGTGGTGCGTTTGAGTCCATACCGTGTCCAGCAGCAGCCACAGCCAGGGCGTGGTTGACATCAGGAGGAGATACCACAGCATCTGCAGGAAGGTGGAGCGCCCCCACCAGATCATGGATGTTCACAAGAGGGTGGAGTTTAGCCACCTCTTTAGGCTTAATGATGTTACAGCTGATCCCCATCACCCTTTAAAAGATTAGAAAAAACATAAAACAGAATCATTTCTATGTTTCACAGCTCCTGTCTGGAAAACTTCAAATGGATCACTTCTGAACATGCATGAGGTTTTGGGATCTTACCTTAGTCTGGACGCCAGACGTTTCAAAGAGAGAAAGCGATCCTGATTTTGGGCCAGACACAGAGAACCCGTCTTGATGTACCCTGAAACAAAAAAACCATCATCTCTATCACCCGTTCACAGACAGGTCAAGTCAAAGGTTGTGGCATGTTGAAACATATTAGGCAGCAAGATATGCCCTGTCTTCTTCTCCCATGACTATTTTTTATTTTTGAGAGCTTATTCAGCTCTTGAAATCTGCGATGACAGAGTTAAACTTGTTCAAATAAACTTTCCTCGTTTCATCAGATGTTTTACAATGTAGGAGAAAGTGCTCCTCTCTCTCTCCTCCTCTGCATTTATGTTGATATTATACATTTCTATTACTGTTAAAATGGCCGGTAATAAAACAGATAAAATATTTTAATTAAATGTTTATGGCATGCTCATTTATTACAGTAGCAATAACATCATGAGTCACACAGAAGCTTCTGTCTTGATTGGTGAAGGTAAAAGGTGTCAGGGTGTCTGACCTGTTTTCACTCCAGTCTCCTCCTCCAGCTGCTGGTAAAGATTGTTGGAGTAGTTTGCCATTTGACACTCAATGGAAATAGGCTTCGCCACGCTGACTATGCCAGCACACAGTCTCGTTGTTCCTGCCCCGAGTCTGTCAGGAGAGAAAAGAACAGGCAGTACAGGATTAGTACAACAATATCAAAGTGTCATCTGTTTCTACTTAACCTCTCCTGACTTCAGGGTAGAATCTATCTATATTTGTGCCCACCCTTCCTCCCCTCCCCCCAAAGGAATCTCACAGGACACGAGAGGGATTCAGTGGCTTTCTCAAGGACAATCAACACGTAGCACTTTATTAAACTCCAAACCACAAATAAAACATCAAACCGACCCACTATCTGTAAGACAGTTAGAGATGGGACAGATCAGATCTAATATCAGTATCAGGTTATATAGTTATATATAGGTATCAGTAATTTAAACATCACATATCGGACTAACGGCCTCAAGCCACGTCACAGATCAAGAGAGCTTGTTGGGCACTTTAAACTAGTGTTGTAGTTAAGACCACACTAACTGAAACCAAGACATACCCGAGACCAGAGTGCTCCGAGACCGAGACATTTAGGGATCGGGACCGAGTCAAGACCGAGGGCAAGACTGAGACTGAGACAGGACCAACACCATAAATATCACTTGGGTTCAGCAGGCGTGTAACACACTAAGAGCGTAACACCGGGAAGGTAGCGGCCGTAACTGGGGGGAATAAAATACTAACTACACATGCATTGAAGTAATTCATTAATTTAGAAAGAGACGTTTTCCTTCTAATCAAAGTAAAGGAAAAATAACCGTTCCTCTGTGGTCTTCAAAGTCAAAAGTCAAAGTCAACTTTATTGTCAATTCCAAAATATGCCAGACATACAGTGGAATCAAAATATGTTTGTCTCTGTCCCCGCGGTGCGATTCAACCAAAATAAGGTAAAATAAGATAAAATAGATAAAATAAAATGAGGTAAAATAAGATAAATAATATTTACAGTAATATTCTCTTCTTGATTTAAAATCCAGAGTCGGTCCAGTCTAAGTCCGAGACAAGACTGAGTAAAAATGCTTTTGATTCAGAGACCGAGACCTTCAAGATTTATTTCGAGTACGTCAACACCACTTTAAACCTTCTTAACTTGCACTAAGTCTCGCTTTAAACTGCAAGTGCCAACAAATCGACTCGGTCAAGACGTTCAGATGAGATGGCACAGCTCCTTCTACATGTAGTAGTCAGTGTTTCCCAGAGGTTTACAGCGTGGGGGGGAGGACAAGCCGACATGCCGACATGCCGACACGAACACTTGAAGGAATCTTAATGTTCATGTGTGACTTTTAATGACAGCTGTCCTGTTCTACCTGAAAGGTATCCTTAAATGACTTCTCTCCCTGATTTCAGACTCTATCCACTATCCTATCTCTACAATAAAGACACACAAAATATAACGGCAGGGGAAACACTGGTAGTACAATTCTTACACTTCAAATATTTAATTTGAAAACCTTACAGTTGTTGCTTCTTCCTGTTTGTATGTGAAGCACTAAGTTCAGGTGCATTTTTATTAACTATTATTATTTTAGATTTTGGATTTTTTGGGATTTACTTCATCCTTGTGTAGCTTCATAATACCAACAACATCAATAACTGTAAACAAGTGGATCATGCATGTCTACAGGTGTTTGTACCTGCCCTGCTCCAGCAGCACGATGTCAGTCCAGCCCAGTTTGGCCAGATGGTAGGCCACTGATGTTCCCACAATGCCTCCTCCACAGATCACCACCCGGGCCTGGCTGGGCAGGGGCAGCGGCTGGGAGTCTCCACTCACAGTCATGCAGTGGGGGGAAGTCCAGAGGCCCCTGCTGGCTGACCTGTACCCCGTGTGGGGCAGCAGCAGCCGGGGGAGAAGGACAGGGGACAGAGCCCTGGAGCCCCGCACACAGCTGCACATAGCTGTGCTTTATCTGCAAACACACAAACTCTTTGTTATGTTTTAAACACTTTACAAGCACATTAGTTCATTTGAAAACTTTATCTGAGGAGTTAGGAGCCGTATCTGACCTTCAGCTCCGTCAGAGGTTCCTGACATGTTGTTTTGTTTAAACTCCTTTAGGTTAAAGTTAGCAGTGGGGGCTCTGACAGCTAGCATGCTAAGCTAAGCGTAGCTCATTTCTTACGTTTTCGACTAACTGACAAACTCTGACGCTTCTTTATTTACTTATTTTATTTTATTTAAGACTCACCGAATCAACCGAGTCCAGATGTCGTGATGGTTTGATAAAAACTCAGAGTAATAACCAGGGACTGAGTGAAGTGACAGGCTTGTTGTGGGTGCAGCAGCAGTCACGACAAACGTCATCAAAACCTCAATCACAAACTGTACTTCCGGTCTGGCCTTCAAAATAAGACTTCTCCGGCTTCTTCTTTTTTTTTTTGGCAGATTGCAATCCCAATTTAAAAGTGCATACCGCCACCTAGTGTGTCAAAGTATTTAGAAATGATCCATATGTACAAATAGTAATAATTATTATATTAATAATAATATGGGGGAAATTAAATACATAAGAAAATAAATAAAAACCTATAAATCAATGTTAATGTTAAATCCACATGAGCTTGTGTAATCTACTTACTACTCAAAGCTATTATCAATCAATCAATCAAACTTTATTTATATAGCACCTTTCAGACAAATTAAATTGCAGTTCAAAGTGCTTTACAAGAGTGCAGAAAAGCTATTGATGAAAAAGTAGTTTATAAAATCATTGATAAAATCATTGAGAGACTAATGCACACCAATAAGAATTAAAAATAAAATATATGTATAAAAATAAAATACAATAAAATACAACACATAAAAGCAACAAGATATTAAAATAAATACATGTGAGGAAAATATTTAAAATTGTAATAGGATAAAAAGACAATACAGTAATGTTAAGGTTTGAATTGATATAAAACACTATATAAAAGCCAGACTGAATAAATGAGTTTTAAGACTGCATTTAAAAATCTCGATATTCTGGGCTCCTCTCAGACCCTCAGGAAGGTCGTTCTACAGTCTCGGAGCGTAACAGCTGAAAGCAGAATCGCCAAAGGTTTTTGTTCTGCTCTGTGGAACAACTAAGAGAGAGGAACTGGAGGATCTGAGGGGGCCGTACTGGTTCATAACCTAAAATCATATCTGATAGGTAGTCTGGTGCAAGGCCATGTAATGCTTTATAAACTAATAAAATAATTTTTAAATCAACATGAAAACTAACAGGCAGCCAGTGTAAAGATTTTAAAACAGGTGTGATGTGTGCTCTCCTTCTGGTCTTTGTCAGTACTCGTGCGGCAGAGTTTTGTAGTAGCTGAAGCCGATTTGTTGTGTTTTTTGGAAGACCAGAAAGGAGAGCGTTACAATAGTCCAGCCTGCTAGTAATAAAAGCGTGCATTAGTCTCTCTGTTTGGCTCAGAGAGAGAAATGGCCTCACTTTGGCGATGTTTTTCAGGTGGTAAAATGCTGTTTTTGTGACAAAAAGATCACCCCAAGATTCCATGCTTCTTGACTTGGGTTGAGTCCTATTTTTTTTAGTTTGGGGGCCAGTTTCTCTCTCTGAGCCTTTGAACAGATGATTAAAACCTCTGTTTTGTCCTGGTTGAGCTGCAAAACATTCTGTGACATTCAGACTTTTATATCTAAAATACAATTAAAAAGTGAGTCAATTTGTCTGGTGTCATCAGGAGACACGGCCACATAGAGCTGAGTGTCATCAGCATAGCTGTGGAAAGAGATTCCGCGCCTCCTGATGACACCACCCAGGGGTAACATGTACAGATTAAAAAGTAATGGTCCTAAAATTGATCCTTGTGGTACCCCACTGGAGACCTCGTATTGTTTGGAGGTGCAGTCTTCTATCGATACAAAACATTTTCTGTCACACAAATACGAGGTGAACCAGTTAAAAACATTTCCAGAAAGGCCTACATGCTCACTTAGTCTATCTAAAAGATTCTGGTGGTCAACAGTATCAAAAGCAGCACTGAGGTCGAGTAGTACCAGAACTGAAGGCTTGTTGTTGTCGAGGTTTTTTCTGATATCATTAACTACTTTTAGCAGGGCCGTCTCAGTGCTGTGGCGTGCCCTAAAGCCAGATTGAAACATTTCTAATGTAGTGTTTGAGGTTAAAAAGGCACTCAACTGATTAAAAACTAACTTCTCTAAAATTTTGCTTAAAAATGTCAGGTTTGAGATGGGTCTAAAATTACTAGGTGTTAAAATAGCCAGGTTCCCTTTTTTTAAAAGAGGTTTAATTAAGGCAGTCTTAAAAATCGGTAGGGACAACACCTAGCTGTAAGGAGCGATTTACTATGTCGAGGACATCTTCTGATACTGATACTAAAAATGGTTTTAAAAAGGGATGTTGGAATTGGGTTAAGGGAACACGTGGATGCTTCATTTCTGTTACCACTGTCCTGAGTGTTGCAGCATCAACCAGGGCAAAACTTTCCAACTTGACATCACTGATTGTACATGATACTGGAAAAAGTGCGGTGTGTTTGCTTTGCTGACAGATACCAGACCTAATGTCAACTATTTTATCCCTGAAGTAGCCAGCAAAAACCTCACATTTAGATCCTGAGAGCACAGAACTGTTATTGGTTGTGGGGTGTAACAGAGAATCTATTGTTCTGAAAAGATGTCTGGGGTTGTGAATGTTGCTGTTTATCAGGTTTGAGAAATATTCGTGCCTTGATTTTTGGATGGCTTTGTTGTAGTCTTTTATTGCTTCTATGAGTATATTTTTATCAATTTCTATTTTTGTTTTTCGCCATCTGCGTTCAGCAATTCTGCAGTCTCTCTTAAGTGCATTGGTCGCATTGTTTTTCCATGGAACAGCCTTTTTTGTATTTACTGTCTTTGTTGTGATTGGAGCGCAGGCATCAAGCACTGTCCTCAGTTTATAATTAAAATCGGTAACAAGTTGTTCACAGGATGATGGTAAGGTGGTATTTATGTAAGCTGTAAGATGTGATGTAAGAGTTGTGGCTACTTCTGGGGTAATGTGCCGTTTGTTAACTGTACGTTCTATTGCACCTGGAGGAGAGTGATCAAAACTGTTAAAAAACACACAATGATGGTCAGACAGAGCTAGGTCAGTGATGGATGAAATATTAATGTTTAGGCCATATGATATAATCAGATCGAGGGTGTGTCCATGTTGGTGAGTCGGTGTATTGACATGTTGTTTAAAACCCATACATTCTAATAATTCTAAGAACTCTTTGGCTCTGGTATCTGCCAGACTGTCAACATGTACATTAAAGTCACTGATTAAAATACAAGCATCATAACTTGTGTGAACGACAGATAAAAGATCAGAGAACTCTGTTAAGAAAGAGGAGAAAACTAAGTTGAGGGCTCTGTATACTGTCACTGCCAGAATATGTGGCTTACATTTTAAAAGTGTTGCATTGTATTCAAAGGAACAAAATTCTCCAAAATCTATGTCCCTACTTTATAGATAGCAGCTGTTCCACCACCTCTCTTTCCCTCTCTGCAGGAAAAAGAAAAGGTGTAGCTGGGTGGACAAGCCTCTAGGAGTGTGGCGGGTGCATCTGTGCCCAGCCAGGTTTCAGTCAGGAAAATACAATCCAGGTTTTGATCACTAATGAGGTCGTTAATAATAAATGATTTGTTTGATAATGCCCTTACATTTAGAAAGAGCCATTTTAATTTCTGTACATTTATTTGCGGACATAGAATTTATGTTTATGGGAACTTTTACCAGATTATTGAAGTTTGGACCCTTTGTAGTTCTATTTAAGAAGTGACGGGTGGAGATGATGGTTTTAATAAAATCAAAAGTGGTAGAAGGGGTAAGAGGTCATGGAGAGATACACTGTACTATATTTTGGGCGAGCATCTGAGAGCCCCTGTGGTTTGGATGAAGTCCATCACGTTTGAAAAACGCTGGACGGCCCCAGAAAACATCGAATGACTACCTACGATTGGCTGTTCGCCTAATCAGAGGTGAGACTCAAGTTAAAATCAACTGTTCTAAAAAATGTTCTCAACAGTCTACTTTTAATTGTAAAATTCTTTGCATAGTTCGCTATTTTCATGAAAATGTCCAAACAGAAACTTGTGCAGTCTTAACTTGAATTGGACTTAATTACCAATACATTTACTTTTGCGAGTTAGAAAGCGTTTGCATGCAGTTTTCAAAATTGTGACTTTGCACATCTTTGTTTTTGAGATTTAAATTTAGCCATATTGTGTTTCTTACAAATACATTTCATTAACGAGGATAGAAAGGGTCAATCAATTTTTTTTTTTTCTACGTTGTCCCATAAAACTGAAACAAAAGACAAACTCAGTCATATGAACAGGGACCGTCACCTTTATAAAGTCATATCACTTTATTTCAGCGTCTCTTTTTTTTATACACAAACTGAAAATGATGACAAACTCAGCAGCTACAAAAAGGAAGTCGTATCCATAGCAACAATTCAGGTATCTAATCTTTTTTTTTTAACTTATTTGTTCAATAAGAAGTCCAGGCCGTGCCTTTGCACACGAGAGATCGCGCTCCGTTTCCACTGATCTCTCACGTTCTCGTTGCTAAATGTGTTTCGCTAAACAAATCGGCGTTCTGCTCTTCCAGCCAAGCCAACGCAGCGAGAGCGGCCGGCGTCGTCACAGTCTTTAGGAGGTTATGGACACCATGTTGTTGGGACTCAGGATCTCGATCCAGTAACCGTCAGGGTCTTGGATGAAAGCCAAGCCTTTCATTTTACCTGAGAGGGAAACAAAGAGTGTGAATGTAATGAAATGAGTAGAATAAATCAACCAATCAGAGAGCAGCAGTAGATTTTATTCACCACCAACAATGTGGCCTTCAGAGCGTTTAGTCACATGACTCACTCTGGAGGTCTGGGGGCGATCTAAAGGATCGTGCCTAAGTAAGTAGCGTCCACCGTTATGTGGAGCTGCAGCGCGAGCTTTTCATTTACCATCTCTACAAAACGACATGTTGACATCACCTGACATCCTCACAAACACTGACATGTTTAGAGGAAGTTTTGAGCACCTCTCAAAGCAAACACAAGAACAACATTTAAATCTGTAAAAACAACAAAGTCCTCAACAGAATGTCCTCTCAGTGATGCTTGCTCATATTTAGAGGAGAAATGTTTCCCTGAGATCACCGCCAGGATGAAAGTCTACAAACATACTGACAGATTTGCACTATATTATATTATATTTTATTTTATTTTGTATAACTGCACTGTTATTGTTTAGATCGTCATATCATACTGCTCTTTCACTGCTTTAAACTTTTGGATCACAGAAGTCACTTTATATCATCACTGGTCACTTTAACTTGCCATCCACTACACATATTGCTCAACTATTTATATTCTTTTGTATATACATCATATTGTTGTTTCTATCTGTATATCTCTTATCTAGCCTGTGTATTTTGTATTTTGTATTTTGTATTACTTCTTTCTCTGTCTCGCTGCTGCAACGCCCGAATTTCCCCACAGAAAATTCAATAAAGTATTATCCTGTCCTAGATTTCTGTATTTTTGATGTGTCTGGGTTAATAATGCTGATGTTTGGTACGCGAAGGGCAAGACATTCATCATCATTTAAGCATCGAGTGTGCTAATCATGAACATCTTTTTGTTATCTAACAATAGTATGAGGAGAAGTGTCTTTGTCAGTCAGTGTTCTGGGGCAGTGATGTCCTTTAAAGGCAGTAAACTTTAGATTAAATTTTAAACAATCCTTGATGTCAGGATGAGGAGAAGTCTGTTCTTTTGTTCCCTCAGAGGGACAGCGGAGCGTCTAACAGCGTTAATCCACGACCTCCTCCTCTCCGGGATTTCTTTCAAACATTAAATTCTGTAGAAGAAGAAGAAGAAGAAGAAGAAGAAGAAGAACCCGGGCTCGTCTCCTCGACCACAACTGACTTTAGTTTAAAAATACAAAATAAAACTGGTAGATGAGACTGATAATGTCTCCGTAGCGTGCGGTGGGAGGAAACATTTCTCGCCCTCCAGGTGGGCGGCTCCATCAGCGTGCTGACTTGAGACGGTTGTTTATGAGGAAATGTGTGAAAATTGAAGGTTTGATCAACTTGTGATTCAGTTTCACTTTTCTGATCGGACATTTTTACATCATTTCTTTCAACATTTTAGATTTCTTCATTATAATTTTTTATCTATTTTTGAAATTCAAAACTTCGACATAAAGAGATCAACCAATCAATCAATCTAAAATATACTGCACAGGTTTTCCAGCTGTATTAGTTTAACCCCTCGATGACCCCGATGTCTCACCATCGTCGGGCTTCTTCACGAACGTCACTCCTTGTTCTTCGAACAGTTTGCACGCTTCGTAGACGTCAGGAACTGCGATCCCGATGTGACCTGTGGAACGTGAGGGGAGAGAAAGAGTCTGATCACTGTGAGTCCACAGAACAGATACACACATCACAGATACACACATCCAGAGTCTGTTTGGAGTGAGCAGACACCTGTTTGTCTTTCTTTAAGAAGACGATCCAATTCAGGGACAATCATTAAAATAGTTTTGGTTTGATGCCGTCCAACAAACCATTTTCAA